TATTTCCATTTGTAGATGAAGAAACTCCAGTGTGTTAAGTGACCTATAGGAATTGCCAAAATTGGAAGATGTTTACAGGTCTTACGATTCTAAACCCAAAGGGCATTTCATTATTCCCTCTGGGCTTCAAAGGAAGAACTTCCATTGAATGTTAAATTGAAGTTTAAAAATAAAGTATTTCTATGGGTTAAAGGTCCTTAGATAATCTAACTCCTTTTCTACATATTTTTGTGAAAGAAATCATTATTATCTGCCATAATATTTATTAATGTATTTATTTATGTATTTATTATTATTATTATTTATAATGTTTGTATATTTTATTTTCCAATTATATAGTTTACATTCAATATTATTCTTTACTAGTTTCAGGTGTACTAGACATAATGGCTAGACAAAATCTTCTCCCTGATATTTTAAGAATTCATCTAGCCCCATACATAGTTATTACAATATTATTGACTCTATTTCCTATTCCATAATTTACACCACTGTGACTGTTCTGTAACTCTCAATTTGTACTTCTTAATCCCTTCATCTTTTCTCGCAGCCCTGCAAACTCCTTCTCTCTGGCAACCATCAGTTTGTTCTCTGCATCTACGAGTTTGTTTTCATTTTGTTTGTTTATTTTGTTCTTTAGATTCCCATGTAAGTGAAATCATATGGTATTTGTCTTCCTTTGACTTATTTCACTGAGCATAGCATTTAATGGCATAAACTCTGTAGACAGAATATCTAGGTTTGAAAGCTTATTAGCTATGGGATACCAGGAAAGTTACTTAACTCCTCTGTACCTCAAACTCTTAATTTATTAAATTGGTGCAATAATAGCATTTATCTCATGGAATTTAAATGAATGGTAATGTGGTCACCACATATCTAACATAGTCAACTTTCAAAATGTTATGACTGCGATTCTTTTCTTAAAGATGACTACTCTTTAGTTTGAATAATATTATCTCTATAGAATGCACTGTGCTTTGCATATTATCTTTGTGTCTCATTTACTTTTCCAAGTATTCATATTTTACAAATGAAGATACTAAAGTTGAGAATGTATTAGTAGCAAGTCCAAGATTTCAACAGTAGGTATTCTGCCTAGACTCAGCTAACCTCAACCCTAGCTTTTTCTCTCTCTGCCACTGCTTCTTTGATTAGACAAATGGACAAAGTTTGGTCATGTCTTAGAGATGGTGTGTATAGTATTCCCAGAGGACACAGAGCTGTCCTCCCCCAGGATGGAATCAGAGCACCTTTGTTCTCATTCAACACACAGACTGAATCAGGACTGCGTGTGCTGGCCAAGTATTGTCCCAGGGGAAAGGTTGTTGTTCACTCCACATTCTCTGATCAATTTCTGCAACTCCAATGAGCCACTGCTTTGGACAGTGATTCTCTTACTCTGGCTAAAAGGAAGATCAGTCTGGGAGATGTATTTATTCCAAGAAAAGAATAATGAGCTTAATCTCTCCTTCCCACTACCACTTCCATCTAATATATACAACACAAGTTTGTAAGATAGGTCCCTTTCTTTTTAATCAAAGTAAATCTAACCTTGTTAAATAATTCATTTGATAAGAAACAATCTCAGTCTTAATTGCATTTCCCAAGGCAGTACAAGTCTAAGAAGTACCTGGTTGATGGTGCTTAGAAGGTAGAAGAAGGACATCCAGCCTCTTGTCCATTATGCTTCCCTTGGACATCCTTATTGCCAAAGCCCATGGTGTCTAAAAGGCCAGGGGGCCCTCACTCAGGACTGCATGTATAAAATAGGAATCTTTGCCAAGGTAAAAACAATGCAGCATCCCTAGATTCATCATGTGGCCATTCCCTTCCATGCCTTGCCTCCCCAAGGCATGAACATTATTAAGTGCAGGGACATCCTTGCTTCTTCTACTCTAACTCTTACGTATTTTCCAACTTGTTTCACAGTCTTAAAATATCATTCCTTCTCCCTTTTAATTATCCTTGTTTCTTTCAAAGTTACTCCCTTTGCCCCAAAGGCAATAATCACATCTTCAATAAACTCAAATTCTGCAGGCAAAAAACATTAAACAAAATTGTCCAGCATCTAACGTTAAGTGTAAAAATTAGCATGCCACAAAACTATGGATGCCAATGAAAAAGTTTCATGTAAAACTTATATACAAGTTTACATATTGAAAATAAAAACTAGAAAAAATACATGGAACTGCAAAGACCAGTAACATAGGAAAGTGGAAGGTATAACAGGAACACAGAAGAAGAAGCACTAACTAGACCTGAGGTGACCAAAACCTTCATTCTTGAACGGTCTGGGCCCTTAGTAGTAGAACCCTTCTTAGACAAGCTTGCTGCATGCACTAAAATTACAGTTGATGTGGGAGTTACAATAGGCATGAGAAGTTCCAGTTGGTGGGGAGAACCAAGAGATGTCCAGTTAGATCACCTGGCCCTACCAGTGTTAAAACCTAACCTTGATCAAGTACTTCCAAAATTCAATCGCAGGCATATTTACCTTGTCTTCTATAGCATGTTCTTGCAGCTCTTTTGGGGTATAATCTTCCTTTTTTTTTTTTTCCTCGAAAGAGGTTTTCTTTACACATGTTTTATTGATTTCAGAGAGGAAGGGAGAAGGAGAGAGACATCAATGATGAGAGAAAATCAAAGATCTGCTGCCTCCTGTACAACCCCCACTGGGGATTGAGGCTGCAACCCAGGCATATGCGCTTGACCAGATTCAAACATGGGACCTTTCAGTTCGCAGGCCGACACTCTATCCACTGAGCCAAACTGGCTAGGGCTAATCTTCCCTTTCTTATCAGGTTCATTCCGTCTCCAACCAGGCTATGCTGGGATTCAATCTAAGCACAGGCCCCGCAGACAGGAAATGAGATGGGGGTAAATGCTCTGAGGAGTCACCTGTTGACTTGCAGGGATGATAAGTGTGTATGGTCTTTCCATACTGGGGAGGCTCAAGCTCTTATTAGGGACCCTCATTAAGTTCTGGGTTCTGCTGAAACCGGTTTGGCTCAGTGGATAGAGCATCAGCCTGCGGACTGAAGGGTCCCGGGTTCAATTCCGGTCAAAGGTATGTACATTGGTTGTGGGCACATCCCCCATAGGGGGTGTGCAAGAGGCAACTGGTCAATGTTTCTCTCTCATCGATGTTTCTAATGCTCTGTCCCTCTCTCTTCCTCTCTGTAAAAAATCAATAAAATATATATATATTTTTAAAGTTCTGGGTTCTAAGCCAAATTTCTTAGGGTAGCAGCCCCCAGTTTCAGTGATACCACGTTTTCCCAACCAGTGCCCTGACCTTAGCGTAACGTATTTCAAGACTGAGCATTTAAATTTCTCTGGAGCTCTGCAGTTCTAGCTGTTAAGGTCTGAGCTTGCTCCTCAGCTGTCAGTGGTGCTCACTCTTCCACGGCAAGAAATAAGGGCCAGGAGGCCTGGTAGTTCTCACACAGAGTCTTTAAAACTTTTAACTACTCTCATTTTTTCATGATCCTTCTGCTAAGCATCAGTGCAACTTATTCATAACCAGCAACTCTCTATCCTTCCAGATATCATTCCAGCTACATTGTTCAAATGCCTGAATCATCTCATCAACAAGGTTAATCCTGTCCAGCAGGACTCCTCACCAGATCAACACCGGTGAAAGTTTTAGCCAATGGCCTGTCACCCTGTGCCAGGAGTCTCCTTGCCCCATAGTCAACGGGATGAATTCCTTTTTGCCAGCTGGGTAGTGGGAGTGCGCCATTTTACTACCTGCTTTCTTGGGCCATGGCTAATGTCATTGATATAATTCTCCAGGAAGACGGTAAAATTGAATTAGGCATGTAAGAGATTTATTGGGAAAAAATTCTTACAAAAATAAAAGACAGAGATAGCCTGGAAGGAGTGGGCAGAGAAAGCAAGGATAGACTCATTCTGGGACAGGCACTGTGAGGGGCCCTGCCCTGCCTGTGGAGGAAGTTCTCCAAGTAAGCCTTGTTCTGCTTTCTGGGAAGAACTTCCTCACCCATGAGATCCCATGGACATTGACTTGATTCTCCATTAAGGTCTTTTTTTTTTTTTTTTTTACTATGATCTCTCATTTCACATATGGAATGACTACTAGGGATGATGCCTTCCTTGAGTGATAGTCAGCTTTTCTACAAGTTTGGGAGCCCAGAATTTATTACTTACACTGCCACGAACTTTTCCAAAACAGACTCATTATTCCTTTGGCAACACAATTCCCTAAATATACATAGTAAGTCCCAGAAATATTTGTTTCATTATCCATAAGTTATTTTCTGGACATAACATCTACGTTTACGTGGTCTCCTTGCTCTCTTGCCCGAGGCCTCTCTTTTACCTTAGTTGGCTTCCACTGAGGCCATCTAACTATAGGTTTCCCTGAAAAGTCCATATTTCAACCCACTCTTTCACAGCAGGGCTGGGTCCTTTTGTTTGACTGAATAGTGTTTGTTTTTAAAAATATATATTTTATTGATTTTTAACCGAGAGGAAGAGAGAGGGATAGAGAGTTAGAAACATCGATGAGAGAGATCATCGATCAGCCGCCTTCTGCACACCCCCTACTGGGGATATGCCCGCAACCAAGGTACATGCCCTTGACCGGAATCGAACCTGGGACCCTTCAGTCTACAGGAGATGCTCTATCCACTGAGCCAAACCAGTTTAGGCTGACTGAATAGTTTTATGGAAGACATTCAAGCAACCAAAGTTTTCTCTCCTAATATTTGAGGTATAGAAGCTTTTCCAAACCTTCAAGGTCTCAATTTTTTTTTAAGCTCTGCTAGAAAACCTATCAATTCTTAACAAAGTTCTTGGTTTTTTTTCTGTTTTTTTTTTTTGGTTTTTTTTTTTTTTCTCTTGTTACCTTGCTAAAAGTTACCAAGGAGCAGCCAACACAGGAAATTTTTACTTTTTTCACATGCTTCCCTTAAAGCATTAGGTCTATTAAGCACTCACCCTGCCTTCCAATTTATCATAGGCAACTGACTTACCAAAATTTTTCCCACAACATCCAAGGATTCCAGGTTTGAAGCTTAACTGCTAGTAGCAGTGTCAAACACAAGGCCCGCGGGCCAAATCCGTCCCGCCAGGCCTTGCAATGTGGCCCGCGCCGCGCTGTCATCACTGCACTCCGCTGCGTTTCCATCACAATGACAGTTTATGACTGTTCAGTAAACCATTCGGCCCGCGATTTAGGCTGGATTTTAGATTTTGGCCCCTTCTCTGATTGAGTTCGACACCCCTATGCTAATCCAATGCCACAGAATCTGACTTCCAGGTACCAATTCAAGGTAATATAATAGTAAGGCTGATCTAAGCTGTTGACAAAAGAATAAAAACAATTAAGTGGCTTAAGGACAATGGAAGTTTCTCATGAAAAATTCTAGTGAGGGAGTTTCAGGTAAATTGCCAATTGATAGTAGCTCTACCGTCTTCAACATCTGACTTCTGAAGTGGCTCTGAGTATCACCATTTCAAGCCTAAAGAACATGGAGGCACACACATAGAAGTCTAAAACAGGCATGTGTTACTTCTGTTCACATCACAGGTGGGAGAATTATGTCATGTGAGATAATTCTAAGGAGCTTGGAAATATACTGCTACAATCCTAGCTAGCTATAATTCTGTTAGTATATAAGATGAGAATGAATTTCAGTCAACAGCTAACTCTATCCTTTCTTCTGAGTGTCAGGTATTTCAAACTGTTTCTTCTCAAACTCAACATGTCTAGAACAGAACTCATTATTTCTTCCCATATTCAGCTCTTCATGTTGCCTTTTCTATATCTCTCATTGCCATTCTTCCAGTTATCCCTTCTCAACATATTGGAGTGATTGTGGGCTCCTTCCTGTCTTTCATTACCATATCTAGCTGGTTGCCAAAAAATGATCTTTTCTCCTTGGTTGGTACCCCCCACATCTGCCTCCTCTTGCTGCCTTTATATCACCAATTAGGCCAGTCAGTCTTCATTACTACTTACCTCAATTATTTGCTGACCTCCTGAGTTGTCGATACAGTTCCAAATGTTTCCCCATTTCCCATATAACCTGATGAATTAACCTTCCCAAAGCATATCTCTGAACTATCACTTTTATGTTGGATGCTTCCACAGGGCCTACACAAAATTAAATACAGATTAACTGCTATCCAATCTGAATAGTCTTGTCTTCCACAATGATGGCTTTTCCAGCAAACTTTCCAAAAAGGATTAGCTGCCAAACCCCAATACATCCCATTTCCCCACTTTCTAGCTTTTGCTAACTTAGTTATATACTTTGAAACTCCCTCTCCCCTTATTTCTAGGAATAAACACAGGTTCTAGAGACCTGATTTCTAATCTCAGCCCCACCTCTAGCTAGCTCAGCCCTACCGTAAGTCATTTAATATCTCTGAGCCCTGTTTCAGCTTTTCTACAACAAGGATAAAAACACCCCCTTCACAGAGGATGAATTTATTCAGACTTAGGGTTGTTATCTGGAATAAATACAATAACTTCAATAAAGTATCTACATAGTATAATTAATGTTCATAAAAGTCAATTTGCTTTCTTCTATCTACTGAATTTTTGCATATTTTAACTCTTCCTCCCTTAAGCTGTCATATTACGTTACAGTATTGCTACTCTTGTCACATATACATTCTCAAATATCAATGAACTTGTAAGGTCCGGCTTACTTTCTTATATCATTGTTATTGGGTCAGATAAGCATGTCCTAGGACCTAGGTGGTCCACTGATTCAAGTTGACCAAGAGACACAAGAAGTAGATATGAGCACAATCTGTATCATAGAGCCAAGCCAAGATTGTGGTCTAGCCAAACCTCATTAACCCATAAATGTAGGGTGAGAATAAATCATTTGTTGTGGCACAGAGTGTGGAGTGGGCAATGCTAAACATAGCACGTTTGACTGACATGCAACACATTGTATAAAACTTGATTTAAATAAATCACAAGTGCAACCACAATAATGATCATCGTGCTCCTTTTAAACGTTCTTTTCCTTTTTCATATGAAAATGGTATCAGAAAAAAAATAACATAAGACCATTAGTTGTTTTTTTTTTAATGTCAGAAACTAGTGATTCAAAAAACTAGACCCTCAATGCAGCTGTTCTGTATATGTAAGTCATGCATTCTGAAGAAGGCAGTAACTAATGAATGACCTTACAGAGCACAGGGAGTGTACAGTATACTTCTCCTTTAGGATACCCATGTGGGGAAAAATGGAAATTCAATTTTAACTGCATTTTGAAGTTGTATGAAATCCTCACAACAAAAATAATAAAAGTTACTGTTTATTTACCACCTAGTTCACCAGATAATAGGATGTAAATGATAGATAATTATAAGACAGTATTCTTTTAAATCTTAATTATAAATTAGGCTTATGAAATATGTATTATTTTCCTCACAGAGTTTAAATTTTGTCCTCGCTCACCGACTTAGTACAGGTCAGAGCCAGGGTGCAAACAGATATATATGCTGATTCCAAAAGCCATCCTTTCCCACCATGCCATGGTGAGAAGAACATTGAATTTATTTAGACTTAGGCAAGCGGTGTCAAAACTAACCCCACATAAAATTTAAAAAACTAAATTGTGTCAATATTTCATATTTAGCTTTGATTAAACCTCTACTGAGTATACACAACAAACCTGTTTAACTAGAGTCACTTTTTTCAGCAATCTCTGAGGTTTTTATGAATTCATTCATCTACACTTTTATAAACTAGAAGGTCATTATCCTGAACATGTTTCACATACTCTTCCAGAAACTTTGGAAATAAAAAAAATAAGAACCCATAATCCCAACTGCAGGGAATTGATCATCTAATTGGAAGAGAAACATGCACACACACACAAAAAACACACAAACTCAACAGTAATTAGAAAAATGCTAATTAAACAAAATTTATACCCATGAGATTGGCAAAAAAATTACAATTCTGCATAATGTTAAGTGTCAGCAGGGATAAGGGAAGCCCAAAGGTGGGATGGTGGCATGTCTAATGAAGAGTTTTGTTTTAGATATGTTAATTTTGAAATGTCTGTGTGAAATCCAAGTGGAGATACCAGTAAGAAATTTGTAGATATAGCAAGATTGGAGCTAGAAGAGAGCTTACCAATGGAAGTATAACTCTAGGAGTTTCCATAGTTTTAGCCATGGAAGCCGAAACAAAACAAAAACAGACAAACAAATTAAAAAAACTAAACTAAAAGGTCTCTGAGCAGAGAAGTGCCATATTTTGGGCACGAGTTCCATGCTTGTGGTGAAGTCTGGGTGAGATGTCTTTATCACGGGTAATTACTATGCCAACCTGAAGAAGGGACTGTGGTTAATGAGGCCAAGTTCTGGGTGGGAATGTGTACTTGAGAGATGGAGCTTTCAGCTGACCCACTCTCAGGCTGTCCCTAGACAGCCGCTTTTCCTTTCTTGGATTATGAACTGCTATGAGAACTTCATGAAAGCCATAAATCCTTCCCAAAGAAAAGCAGAAACACATTTCAGAGTGCTGTGTTATCTTTTGACAGACCCCGGTTAAAAATACCTGGAGAGATTGATTATTATTGACTCTTTTCTCTTCCATTTTTTCCCCCTTTTCATCTAATCAGGTTGGTCTACCAACTAGAGGTGATAGGCTTTGTTGTAGGTGGTAGAAAAGGTGATCTTGGCATTAAGGCTGATTCCACTGTGGCATGAGCTCACAGCCACCCTAGACTGTCTCTTTAGGCTTGGAGTAAAAACAGATTGATCCTTGTCTTGTTCCTGGAGATGGATATACTGGAGCCCTAAATTTTTATTTATTTATTTTTTCTTGTCTTTTTGTCTGTATGATGGGTTAGGCTGCTATTTACAAAGCTAAACTATCTTCCAGACTCCATTTCAGAGGACAAGTGGCATAGTAATAGTGACAAAGAAACTGAAGGTGTCTCTTCTGGATAAGCACTAAACTCTTCCGGAGAAATAGTACATGGTTGATTTAATCCTATGGGCAGAGTGATTGCCATTCCAAGTAATGAGACAATAAAAATAATACTGAAGTCTTGGTCATGAATGATGAAAACTCGACATTTAAAAAGTTCTTTCCTCTTTCATAAAATTATAGAAATTAATGATAGGAAAGGGCATTTAATCCAATGAACTTGTTGTCAGCCCTTTATTATTATTCAAACTGTTACATTTAATTCAATTTTAAGTCTAAAATAATAGCATTCCAAATTTCCCCCTTCAGAGTGCATGGGGACATTTACTTCTCGTATTAATTTAAAAATATAACTAGCAGACATTTTACCTTCATTTATCTATGAAAAACGACACAATAGAGTGGAACTGGCACTAGATAGAAATCTGAATGTCTGCCATCCAATGCTAATCTAGGTAACAGCTGTGTAACTTGGAGCAAGTCCCTATACCTCTCCTAATTTTTGATTTGTAAACTGAGGACAATACTTTTCCTGTCTATATGCTAAGGTTGTTACAAGGATCAAATGTAAAGAAGTAAAGTGTATACAAAGCATTTTTTGTCGAGATTCAGGCTCAATTTTAAATTAAAAAAAACCTCATGCGTCAGCCAAATTGCCTTGAGGAAATACACAGCTTGTGATGGAGCTAGAACCCTTGACTAATTCAACATTCACTATGGTAATATCTGAGCTTCTTTGGTACAGTGACAAGTGACTTGGATAAACTGCTTGAAGGGTTTATGGCCCAGTGGAATATGAGATACTGGTCAAATCCCTGGAGATCAGGTAGTTGTTGAACCACTTTATAAAAAGGGAGGACCTTAATAAAGATAGGTTTTTAAAAATATATATTTTTATTGATTTAAGAGATGAAGGGAAAGGGGAGAGAGTTAGAAACATCAATGATGAGAGAATTTCTTATTGATCAGCTGCCTCATGCATGACCATACTGGGGATTGAGCATGCAATCCAAGCCTATGCCCTTGACCAGGAATTGAACCTGGGACCCTTCAATCTGCAGGCTGATGTTCTATCCACTGAGCAAAACTGGGCAGGGTATGATAGGGCTTTTTGTTTTGCAAAGCATTGTTTACAAAACAGCAGAGATATGAAAAGCAGAGAGGAGAGAAATAAATTAATTTTTAAAAAATCCTCAACAGATGACATATTTTTATTGATTTTAGAGAGAAAGGAGGAGAGGGAAAGGGAGAGGAAGAGGGAGAAAAGCATTGGTGTACCTTCCCTGACCCAAGGATCTGTCCCTCAAAACCTGGGTGTATGCCCTGACAGGGAATCAAAGCCACAATCTTTCAGTATATGGGAGACAGACACTTCAACCAACTGAGCCACAACAGGCAGGGCTAAAGAAACACTTCATTTTAGTGATTAAATAAGTAACTGAATAAAAAAAAATTATAAAATGGGAAACTGTATTAAATTGCTTGCTCTGCTTTCTGGTGTAAGATGTATAATGTGAAATATTTATTACAATCTCTCTTGTTCAGTGCTTTATGAAGGAGCTTGCTTTTGGAGGAGGGGGAGAAGCAAGGCTGAAGCTGAACAAACTGGAGGCTCCTCCCTGGAGCCAGTTGAAGAGTTACATGAGAATTAACAGAGATAAAAACCTGAACACAGATGTCCACAAATACTAGTTATTATTTTATTGTTGTAACCAGCAACCTCCTGAGTCTGAGAGAAAACAACTAATAATTTAGCTTCTCTAAATCGTTAGAGCAGGGTGGCTGTGTTATAATATATAGGTCATTCAACTCATCACCATAGTTACAATGACTGTTTAGCTCTATAAAGCTACATGGAAAAAAAGGAAGACATTTGATGTGTTCTAATTCCATCATTAAACTTTATTTTCTCTCAACCAAAATATATCTCAGCCATACCTTAGAATGAATGTTATAGAAACCAATCTCTCTTCTCATTATAATTAATTATTCATTCTAAAGCACCTCAACAGTGAACATCTTTCTTTGATAAGAGAAGCAACATGAATCTATGGGATTAGTTTAAAATAAACAACCACTTAGGCATGCATGTGAAAGACTTATATATTGAAATTCATAAAACTTTGTGAATTTTATTTGAAAATAAATTTGAATTTATTTTTGGTTGTTCACTGCATTATCTACAGGCTGTCC